TTCTTAGAATACGAAAACATTGGTGAATGCCACAAATTCTCCTAAATCACTCGTACGCACAATTTAAGAACAAATCTGTGCGTACGGACGGTTCTTGCATGAGGCCCATTGTACTTTTCAGTGTTTCTGAGAGGACGTGTTAAAACACTGTTTCTATGCAGGAAATACCACATGGAGCTCTGCTATTGTTTGTTAGCGGTGCTCAGCCATAGCAATGAAACAAAGAAATGTAACATTTTCTGTTTAGTRGAAGTTAAACAAGAAACATCAAAATTAATTACAACTGGCCCTCGCTGAAAATGAGTTTGACATCACTGACACACATGAATACATCTGTTTACCTTTCCATAGATGGTTTTGAATTCCTAGAAATCCTGAAGGAAGTAGCCCAGGACAACACAGATGACCCTAACCTCAGCATTATCTGGATCGACCCAGACAACTTCCCCCTGGTGAGAGCACTTCCTACTTTTTCATCTCTTTAATCTGATATGTATTTAGATATCTTGGACTTAATGTGTTGTTTCATTGTGCTAACTTTTCAGTTGGTTCCATACTGGGAGAAAACATTCGGTATCGACCTATCATCTCCTCAGATTGGTGTAGTTGATGTCAAAGATGTAAGAAAACTGAGTATTATTATTTCCCTATGTGAAAAATATATATTTTCTCAACCTGCCATATTTTCTTTAGTTAGACTTCTAAGCTTCTTTTTTGCTGTTGCTGTGAAATGTATTTAAATAAAAATGTGCCCGCTCTGGAAGCTGTGATCACCTGTGACATTTTCAGTTCACTGTGCCCATGCAAACAGTCTGTACAGGTCACTGTCCAAATACGTTTACCTTTACGCCCCTACTCTATTCTAATGATGTGCACAGATGTTTTTATCTTTTTATTAACARTCGGGTGTGTGTTGTATGCAGGCTGACAGCGTGTGGATGGAAATGGACGACCAGGATGACATGCCCTCAGCTGATGAGCTCGAACAGTGGATTGAAGATGTTCTGTCTGGGAAAATTGACCCAGATGATGATGATGAGGAAGATGATTTAGATGATGACGACGACGATGATGACGACGACGACGACGACGACGACGACGACGATGATGACGATGATGATGATGAAGATGAAGATGATGACGATGATGAAGATGACGATGATGACGAATAATGGTTAAACACTCTTTTTTTGTCACGTTGCTCTGAAAAGACAAATTTCTTGTTTTCTCAGATTGAACATAGTCCTGGTGGGAAATACTGTCAGGAAACAAGGAGGTTTTCTGTGAAGCCAGACATTTTTTACCCTGATGATGATGATGATGATGATGATGATGATGATGATGATGATGATGATGAAGATGAGAAGAGTTGGAGTCTAAAAAGAGAAAATGTCCCCTGTTGCCGCTCTTTGACAATAACAGTGAACGTGAATCAGGCAAACAGAAGCCAAACTCCTAAACATTTCAAAGTAAAGGTGCAGAACTTCATTCATCTTCTCTTGGTTTCCTGTTTTTCTGTTTCATTTACATGTTTTCRACTTGATTATCAGAAGAAACACTTTTCTGTACCATTTTTAAAAATAATAAATCTAAACTCACTGGACAGTCTTAAGAACAACACAAATTGTGAAAATAAAATTGACATTTTCTGTTTTTTGCTCCCATGATTGTGCTTTTTCTCTCTGTAAAAATATAGGCATCAAAAATACGTTGTTTTATTAAAATTCATTCATTGTCTTTACCCGCCTCTTTCAGGGTTATGGGGGTCATTTGTGCCCATACTAAGCAATCACTGTGCAAGGGTCGGGGTACACCCTGGACAGGTCCATCACAGAGACACAGGGACAATGAGACTTCACTCTCTCACTTGGGGACAATTTAGAGTTACCAATTAGCCTAACATTTGTGTGTTTTTTTTTTTGGTATCTAGAGAAAACCCATGCATGCAT